TAGTTTGGCATTTCCCTTTTATGCTCAACGAAATAATTAAATCCATGTTCTCCACGCATGTTCTACGTCGGGTTGAGCAGGCAGCGAGCAGCTTCGAGAGCTATCAAGAGCATCGAGGATGTATTGAGGAGAACAAAGAACGTCCGACTCTGCGACCACCTTACCACCTTTTTGACTCAACAGTACTTCCTGCCTTAACGTATGCGTCAGAAACCTGGTCGCTGCGTGAGCATGAAAGGTCACTCAGCGTTATTGAACGTGCAGTCGAAAGGATGTTGCTATAAGTACACCGTGACACACAAGTGAAGGAAGGGATCCGAGCTCCGACCTACGTCAACGATGAAGAATCAAAGGCACCATTTTCTGCGCCAAGCAGTCGAAGATAAGGTGGGCCAGAGACGTAATAGTATGCACGACAGGCGATGGGTAAGTGCTGATAGGGTATGGATTCTTGGGACGGTCAAGCACACAGCAGGAAGGCCATCGATCAGATGGTCAGCGTTTTTCACAAAAGCCGTAATCGAAAGAAGTGATGCGCACCTAGTCTTTAAAGCAAGCAGAACTCACTAGGCTACTCCAGCACGCAGCAGCAGAAAACCGTTTGCTTACTACTGGCGCCCGCTCAGATCACTCGACCATTAATGGGATGACGTATAACACAAGTGACATTCACTTTTACCAAATTATTCGTAAACTAATTAAATTATCCTATTTAAAAAATTGAGCTCGTCTATTTCTTCAATGGCAGGTTTTCTTTAGCTCGACCGCGAAGACCAACATCGTATGAATGAATGACTGCGAACAGTTGACTTGAATTACTTTGAATCTGAAGAAGGTGAAGCCGTCGAGACGCTAACCGAATAAAGCTTATCAAAAATTTCGCTGTAATGTATCACTCAAAGAAAATACAGCGATTATTCGTACTGAGGTTACAAGAAAGTCTTCTTAGAAAAGCACATAAAACAAAGTGTTCTCAACTCTTAAAATTTCCTACCCTGGAAAATCTCATAATTAAGAAGGCGAGGGCTTTACATGGGCCAATGGCTCGCCGCTTAGCAACAGCTGACGATATATGAAATCAAGCGGTGCAAATAAAAATGAATTTTTTATAGTGTAAGGTTTACAAAATGACTAATTTTTTCCATTGCTTACGCAACCCCATGCTGTGTGGATGCCAGCACTTCTTGCATTCTGCTCGGTTCCCCGCTCTTATAATTCACGAAGCTCTTCGAACCTTCTTGTAGTGGGGTTCAGCTGCTGCTTGATAATTTTTGGCCTTTTTTATGAAGGCCATTGAATGATGGCCGAGTCGATTCTCTACGTGGTCCTATAAAAGTCGTACTAAAAAGTCCCTAGATCTTGTGAGAACGAGCGAGCTTTCCATAAACTTCGGTGCCAGTCTCCCAACACAGGAGGGGTGGTAAATTCGTTGGCCTTTTGCTAATTCGATCCAATGCCTTGCGCGTAATGAACAGCATCATTACAGCTACCCTACCTATGTCCTATTCTATTCTTTATTGTGATTTAACCTGATTTTGGCTTACAAAAGGAATATTACTGAATCATAGTTGATTTTTATAAAGCTCTTTCCATGCAAAGTTTTTGGGGAACTGAAATTATCTATTTCGTTGGAAGATTAGAGAACAAAGCGATCGCGGTTGGTCGACCGCTTAAATATGAATTATGCAATAGACTCCATTAAGCAGCGCAAAGGAGATTGAATGCTCACTTGACCGGATAAGTTTGGCAGCAATTTTCCGACTCCGGTGGGATAGGACGCTTTTGCATCTCTGTGAGTGCGGCCCAACCTAAGAATCTGTGTTTACTGCGGCGAATCCCCTCTACACCTCCCGCTATCTGTTTAATACGTTCTGAAAATTATCTGTTTCGTCAGCCAGAGCATTCTAAACTTCAGAAGCAAAGAAGTACCTAAGCTGTTCCTAGTTCTACGTGACTCGTGATCACATCTAATTTTTGGATCCCAGCATATCTTCTATTCGGTTCGTTTCCTCTCCTTTATCGTCGACAAAAGTCTTCAAACATTTCGCGTGTTGTTTCGGCTGCTGTTTGAGGATTTCGTCCTTTCTTTATGAATGACGAACGAAAAATCAGGTTGCTAACTTCCCAGTGCATGAGGAATAAGGTGAAAATTTTTCCTTTCGTTTTCCATTAGTATTGGATTTTATCACAATGGTAGAAAGCTTATGGTTCGTCCAGTATGTTTTATTCTGGTGAACAAATCAAACCACTTTAGTAAAATAGGAACTAGCTTCTCTTCCATTTCTTTCAGCGACTATTGTTGCGTTTGTTGATTTTGAACTGGCACCATTTCCTAGCTTTCGCAACAGTTTTTATGTACTTTATTAAAGATGATTTTTGATTGGTTATATTTCATGTTCAAGACATTGAATCTACTCTCTTGCCTGACCTTAAGGAATTGGATGTCATTGTTTTCATCCTTATTTCAACCGACAGCTTTTCTTGAAAACTCTTCATATTGTGCCGTTTTTTGAAACCTTCATACGTTGAAGCTCTTTCAACGTATGTGATTGATACGCCTTAAATTTTGCATTTCAGACGATTTTGGTCTGTGTTGTCGTGGATGTGCTGATGAAAATACAAGAGAGGCAAAGATTTCGTTGTATTGGTCGTGACAATGATGGTGTAGACCAGTCTGACAATGTGTTGTCTCGTCCCAACCGGTTTTTCGCATGAGCGCTATACCGTCAACTAGCTCTTGTTCTTTCATTCCTCTTCGATCCTTCTCTTCCCTCAGTTTCTCTCAATTGTTTGCAGATCTGAAACTTGTTAGGTAAAAAATTTGGAAAGCTTGCTTTTATCCTACTCATAGCAGCTTCAGTCATCTATTACTCATTAACAATCCATAACCCCTCAAAGGTTGGCAAATTGGAACCGAACTTGCCTTGAAGTACTTTGACACTTAGTCGATGCACCAGTGGGCTACCGCGAGTGAAAGTAAGGGCCAGATATGCATTCCGTCACCTCTAACGTTGCTTTATGAAGTTGAATATGCTTGACGCATTCTTTAGGAATTGATCGCCGACGAAGGGTTCAACTTTTTATCCTTTCTCCTTGATAATAATCCAAGTTATGCGCAGAACATTACGAATTCGACTACATTAATATTGTAGAGGTGATTGAATTCACTTCTGGCCCATGCAATAACTTTAGAAATAACAAACCAATGTATTACCGATGTATCAGGAGTTTCCCTTACCTAACCAGTCAAGTATGCTCTCCATTTTCGATCTGCAAGGATGTAGCACAAACGCGAAATCGAACCGAATGCTGCTTGTTTAATGCAGAACACCTTTAACCAATGGAAAAGCTAAAATGAAGCTCTCGGCGTCGATCAATCTCTGAGGGAAGCGCCCTGCATTCGACTTCACTAAGTATTGTAAGAAGTGAGTGAATGCTTGTCTGGCCTATACATTGACTCGCGGTGGCCTATAATGTATCGAGTCAGTGTTGATATACCAGACAGGCCTGGTACAAATTTGCGGACCCGGAGGAATAAAGGGCTTGCTTAGGCCGAGATAGCGATATCGATCCCAAGTGTATTGCAGAGTTTCTCTAACTACTGCGCTACACGCGTCCTTGTGTGCTTAATAATAGCGACAATAATGAAGACAATACTAACATTAACAACAATTAGCAAATTGTAACACAAGAACATAGTATTTAATGTAATTAAAGGGGACAATTTTCAATTCTAAAGCTTCCAAACCTTCGGTACAGACACTAGCCGGACTTTGCGGCTCCAAAGGAGTCAAGTCGGTCAAGTCTGGTGCTAACTTGTCGACGCGGAGTGCGGTTGAGTGAAAAAAATACGCGCGTCTTGCACGTCTTCTCCAAGTATTGCGTTTCATTGCGTTTTTGGCTCTACATTTGATATATGTCATATCGCTCCTCGCTCACCCTACAATGTTCTTGTTGATGAACGCAGCTTCAAACTTTCTTAGGGCAACACTTGTTCTCTCATATTTGTCTTGCTGTATCACGTGTACTTATGAACTTCGTGGCATGAAATAGTCAAGATGACCTGAATATATTGCCGTTACTTCGTCTCGTTAGTGAATGAAATGTTTGTTCATTCATTTAGTAACCATAACACCATTTTACGTGTAGAAATTATTAAGCAGGCGCAACAAGTTACATTAGATAGGTTCTTTCTACTTACTAACATTTCGCTCTGAACTCACAGCTGAGGTACATTGCCGGGCAGAGACCTCTTCCTTCCTCCACCAAAGCACATATGTTTACGATTCAGAGTCTTTAAATGAATTAATAAAATTTACTACGACTAGTGTAACTATTATCCTACATGAAGTGTAATTACTTTCGAATGAATAGGAAGAATGGTAAAAAAATTTAGTTCTAATTGGAATATGTCAGATTCATCGATTCGATTTGATCACTATTCTTTGACTGAAGAATTTCGAGAACTAATTTGTTTTAAACCTTCTTCTTTTCAAACATACCAGCAAGCCGAATAGAATTAGATGAATCCTTGATATGGGTGGTTCTTTTAACCACTAGATTTCTACTGCAGCATCAGCTTAACTGGGTTCAATACAGACTTGTGCTTCCCAGGTTAAACCCGTTGACAGGTGATGGCACAGATAGATGGAAAACTAGCTGAGAGACAGCCGAAACGTAGAACCTGGATGGTGCAGTGGCGAACGCGTTAGCCCCCGGAAACGGTAATAACACGCTCTTTACCCATCGCAGACACCTTTGTTTTGCAAACATCCCGGCAACATTATGGTTGTATTTCACATATTAGTCTGCAGCGAAAAATTCTAGTATACAGCAAATAAAAGGTAAACATTAGTGGTTTTTTTTTAATTTTTTAAATATACGTTTACAGTAAGAGTTCAGAACCCATGTAATATGCCTGTACTCAATCAAAGCAAAGGGTGAAAGAGATGAACTGCTTAGATTCGCTCACTGTCTTTTAGCAAATTATTTCAAATTCTATGAATTCAGGTGAGATCATGAAGGAGGAGTTCGCCGATGAAGCTTACAGTTGGGCGACAAAGACATCGTATGCAACAGATACTGAGCAATCATTGCTAGTAGCAAATCGTATCAAACAAGAATGGGGTTGTGAAGCCGATGAGGATATGCACTTCGTACGAGTTTCATCGTCTGATGAGCAAGCACGGTAAGTTATTTGTTTAACGATATCAGGGTGCAGGTGAAAATAATGACGTTTAAGTGATAGTGTGGCGGCGCACTGTCGGAGACATGATAAACCACAAGACCGGCATCAACCGATTGTCTTCGACCACTTCATCTGTATGCGAATTGGACTAAATACGGAAAATAACGTCCAAAAGCTGATGGCTCTATTAGTAAGCAGTTGTGAGATTTCACTTTATCAATTTGTACATTGCTGCTACTAGTCGTTTAGCAGTATTCATTTGAAACAGTACTTTCGCTCTGTAAAAATGTGACGGAATTCCTGACTGCTTAAATAAGCTTTTAGGCTGCGCACAACTTTGTGGATCTAACTGTCATTCAGGTATGGACAGATTTCACAATTCAAAACAATAAGTTTATATGCACTTTCAATCTTATGGTAAGATAGTGCATTCGCGAAATCATGAGTTCTCATTGGTTGTCTACTGTGCGCGCTGTTAAGTGTAAGTACAATTGGTATTATTTGCAGTGTGCTACCAATGCTCCAACACTCCTTGGTGCCGTCAGTTCCACTCCAGTTGGACTTCTACACTGGCCAGCACCTTCTAAAAGTGTGCAGTTTGCCTGTTTTCGCTCCATAATGCCTTTTCATTTTTGTTAACGAGTACTCATTTACATCTCAGTAACGACATAGTCCATATTTACATAGCAGCACGATTTTAAAGACAATAACAGTTCTCTATTTTGTAGTTCAAACACGAACAAAGCACGCAATGTTAACAAAAGACCAGTACAGAAGTTATCAAGGAAAAAAAGCTACGTTGAAGAAGTCAATGCGTCTGGTGATTTGCTGGATTGAAAAATTGGCCTTAACTATTTCGATAAACTGTGCATGTTTAAGGGAAATGAGCCATCCATGTATTTGCCCGCAAAGTTGAAGTGCATCAAATGTGGCGAAGAAATGGGATCGGGTCTAACGTAGGTTACTTTTCTTGTAAAAAAGTTGCATAGTGTGTTTTTTTAACAATGAAGCAATGCTGTTTGGAACTCAATTGAAAGTACGCTTTTTTGGTGCTATAATAGTGTAAATGGTAGTAATAGTCCTGAATGCATTATTGATTTGTGCTTGAGCTATTGCTTCTTCTATTATCCAGTCTTCTTTCATTTCAGATTTAACACTGTGCTATCTCACGTACAAAAAGTTCATCTAAAAATGGCTGCTTTTCAGTGCAGAATATGTAAGCATTACAGGACTACACATGAAAGGGTATGCTAAACATGTCATGCAACAGTTTTTTTTCCTCTAGGAATATTTGTTTGAAATCTACGAGAAAACCCTCTTCCAAAAGCAACCTGTTTTTTTATTCAACTTTTTGCTCATAAGAATACATAGAAGCCCCAAATCCTAGTTACATATTGCATCTGAGTTTGAGCCAAATAAGGAGACAACAAATGTTTGGACGTATCTCACGAAAGTTAATACAAATAACTTTTGTACATAGTTGATCCAGACTTTTTGGGATCTTGTTAACAAAATGAAAGTTTTCATGATTCCGGCTTGTTCAACTTCGCTTACAAAATGACGAAGATGACTATGTTTATCGCACCTTTCATATAAAATACCGTTGGGTTATAATTGTTAACCTTGGATCGCCTAAGAAGGAGTCGCAGCAAGGTGCACTCTTCAGGCTCAAAGTGTGTGAAGTAGGTTTTCTCGCATTCTTCGCCGTCTGTTTTTCATTTGATGTCGAACGACACAGGAAGGTGCTACATCACGCTATGGCACATTGCGTGCCACCTTGAATGTGGTGGTGATGACTGATAGAATCTTTGCTTAATGAATCAGTGTATAGCACAGCCAACTTCGTAACCCTTTGAACAAAACATTAGGATGTGGATGCAAAAAATGAAAAAATATTAAAGTTTGGTGAATTTAGTGCAGAATTTTAAGCACCTGACCAATACGCTCATTACCAAACATGGAGTCTGACACATTGCGACCCTTCACGGTCAACTTATTACATAGGGTCCTTTATAGATACAATCACATGTGACGACTGTACACAAAGCGCGCTCCAACAAATTCGATTCGTCATTAGCTGGTATGAGAATTAATAAATGTGTTAGTAATATTTGAGTTTGTTGCATTTTTTGTATAGCTACTGCTACAGGTCCAATATCAGCCAATGACATGCAACTGATGGAAAGAATGATTTCCATTTGCTTTCCGGGAGTAAGAGTGGTAAAAGTTTGCTGAGTTTTTACTGTAATTTTACTTCTCTGGTAGTGATAAAATCTTCAAAGTGCATTTTTCAGAAGCTTGAGATCACAGACAGACTCTGCATACGGACATTTGAATACAATGGTGTAAAAACGTAGCCATGGTCGTAACGAGCAACACGACTTCGATGAAAACTGCTTGATTGTGGATACGAAGACCTTAGACCCTTATATAAAGGTGTGTATAAGACAAGCTATGTGATAATGACTGCATTCGTGTTTATTCTGCCTGTTAATGTAGCCAGAAACTTTGTCGTAATAATTACGTTGTCGTAAGTTGAGAAGATCGTTTAATGGCAGCATAACCTCACGGGTAGTGGGCATATTTAATTCAAAATTGTTTTCTAATATTTTAACACGATGGGCTTATTCTTTGTACCAGAGCTAGTAGTGGAATAATTTGACATAACTTTGTAAAAGGTTTATTAGTAAAAATGCTGTTTTTTTTGTGCTCATTCTTTACGAAAACCTCTATCGTTACTACATAAAATGTGCGGCGACCTCAAACTTAAGCTCTCTTCAAATATTCACCTCTTTATTTACTGCCTACCTCATACTCCAGGTCAGTTCTGAAACCGCGATTGCCCTTTCCGGTGGTTCACGTGTTACGCACTGCACAACTGAAGCCTTCGCTTTGCCTATCCTTCAGCCAGTTTTTTTTCAAATTAATAGTGCCATTAGCAATTACCCGTCAACAGGAATGATTCGGGTAACACAAATCGGCGTTGAACCCAGTCAAGCTGAAGCTGCAGTCGAAATCACAACGTTTAACTCCCGGAAATGGCTATAGCGGTTTTGACTTTAGCCTGGGGTTCGAGTTTTCTAAAGAACTCTCTTAGCATCATTGCGGTCTTACTTAACATAGACTCTTTTAGTTGTTCTCGCTATTTAAAAACATAATTTTTAGTTTCTGTCTAAAGAATCCCGTGGAATACGGAGAGAAATAAGCGCGTTTTTAATACAGAGTCTCATTTAATCTTAGCATGAAAAATAAATGCTAAGCTGTACTCAGTAGACCACAACCGATTCGATACTTCATGATAATGTGCCACAGTGTGAGGAATAACTGCTGTGGACTTCCGAATGGAATCGCTGCGGCTCTTAGGGACTTGATTACGCCGAGTAGATAGCCAGAATAAAGTTTCATGACAACTTCACGTAAGTTTCTTTACAAACTATGACATTGCTAACGTAATTCTCTTACAGAGGTGAATAACTACTAATAAGTAAATACTTTCTTAATAAGACACTCAAAACCATTCCGAATCACCGCTTTCACCTAATCTTGGCATTGGCAATAATTTCGGATCCTTGAAAGCTTACATTAGATGCGTAATATAACATTTATTTCACGGTATTTATCTTTTGGGAGAGTTTGCTGCAGTTTCCTCAAAACTCTTAAACTGTCATATCGTCAACCGTCCAAATTAATATGGATGCAAGAATAAAGTGGCAAATTCAGCAGCTCCACTAACTCGACAGATGCATCAAGGAAAGCCAGTCTCGAAGCCTTAACCTTGTGTGTCATTCAAGTATTCGATTGTTATTCAAAACACCGAGGAAGAATTGCGTAAAAATTGTGATGTGAGCGTAACCGGTGAGCATCCTGATTACTGCAACACGAATACTAGAGAATCTTGGAGTAGAAATTGACACCAATATGTGGAAAGATTGCCGTATCGGATACAATTAAGTCTATTTTGCAAAACAGCGCATACGCGCCCTACCTACATTTGTTTAGAAAGTCGAGGTCGAAAAAATATGTCTGGAATAGGATATTAATGAGTATTTCGAATTGAGAAATAGCAGAGTTGTGAGAGCAATGATGAGCAAAATCATATGCTTCCCTATCGGCTATCGATGACATGAATGTGGTGGTGGTGTGCTGGCACTTGTAACTCTTTCTTCCCGTTACTCTCCACCATACGCCCCATCACATACGGCAGAATGTCCACCATCCCATCTCACTCAATTCCCACTTATTGCCTTATTCGTTCGAATGGTTAACCAGGATAAATGCCGCGTTCATTCGATGGTCAGCTTTCTACTTGAGATTTTCTTACGGTTACGTTTACTATGAAAGCATTGCATAATTCCCCGATAATAACCAAAAACCTTTTCTTGCGTACAACTATCAAGCGGTAAAGTTAGCTAATGTAAGCCGGAAATCATTAGCAGTAGCAACGCTGTCATAGAGTCGACAAAGAGCTTTCAGGTAATATATGAAGAAGTAAAAAAAACAGGATTGAGTGCATTAATGAATAAATTTTTGCTTCGTTTCATTTCTTATCGGAAAATCAATAGGTAAATAACTAGCTTAGGATTCTTCTTGGTCTAGAGTAAATGAGATTTATCCAAAACGTTAATCTTAATGCCTACTTTATTGTTCTTATAGACACCTTTAAATCCTAAGCTGGCTAGAGAAAAACAGCTCTCTTAAATTATTTTAGAAATTAGCATGTAAAGGGATCTGAAAGGCTTTTCTAGTGCGTCAAACAGAAACATCCCAAAACTCAGTATTACTCGTGTAGGATCAAATTACCCCAATATGAGCAAACTACCGTACTTGCACATAAAGAGCTGTCGAATTTAAATAAATAGACAAAGTCTAGTGTTTAGAAAGGACTCTGTTTTTCTGTTACAAGGAATTATATATAGCTGGTCGTTGGTTTGCGAATTTATGCAAAACTTTCCATTTTCGTTAGCAATTTTGCGAACCTGTTAATACTGTTTTTAAAAACCAAGCTTCCCAGTTCCTTTTTCATGAGAGGACACAATGTTGTTATAACACTGTTTAGACATTATATGAATACTCGCCGTTTTGTTCTTTATAATTCCTCCACTTGGCCACTGATCAATGCCGTGGTTAATGGGAAGCCAATTTTGGTGATTGATCCTTATTTCTTTGTGCGTTCATCAACGTTATATCTTTTTTCTGTCGGCGTTTACCAGTTACTCTCCTTTATTTCGCTTCCTATAATGTTTGGTATCAATGAATTAGACAAACAATTCAAAGGCCTCCTGTTACACAGCGATGAAGTTTTGGGCATTAACGAACTTTTCCATAACTACGACCAAAACTGGTATTATCTTACGTTATAGATTGTAATATTTTCATAATCGTTTCTAACACCTGCATTACCAAAGCAGAGTGGTTTCCCATTTATATCTCCCAAAATCTCTTGTTTCGTTGCCCTCAGCGAGTCATTTCCTTGAAGACGAGAGTCAAGGGCACGGAGGCGCTGTGTTGTACGCTACAGATGATTGACTACACGAGTTTTTTTATGCTTCAACTCAGACAGGGCGAGCACGTACTAAATGCATCCTATGTAGAAAATATTTCTATTTAGAATGCTATAGCAGGAACTACACACTCTGTGTGTCTTGTTTGAGAAGTTATCGTTCTCTTAGTTCCAGTAGTATCGAATAAGTGTACCTAGTTGCTAGCTCGATTTGTTTGATGCATATATAATTATTCACTCATCAGCATGATCAGCAATTGCATATCGGTTACTGGCTTGGTGGCTTTTTAATAACAGACGACAATTTTCTCATAGACGATCTTCTAATGAGAGCCCACGTTAATCTGATTTCGATTACCTTTCGAGTGGAGTATGTATAGTATGGTTATAGTAAAAATGGTTTCAGTAATCTTAGAAATGGGTTACAATTAAAGAATAAAGAATAAAACTCTTGACGTTGATCAATCTCTGAAGGATACGCCATGCATTCGACTTTATAAAGCATCGTTTGGAGGTGACTGAATGCATATCTGGGCTTTACAATGACTCGCTGTAGTCTACCGATGTATCGGGACAGTGCTGCTATCCTTTCAGACAAGTCTGGTAGCTTGGTACCAATTTGCCGTCCTTGGAGGGATGGAAGGCTTGGTGGACCGTCGGCGCGGGGATCGTTTCCACGTGTGTGTTGCAGGAACTGACATGCATAACTGACTTTTCTGCTTTGACCATAGATAGAGGAGAAGTTAGAATTCTATGCTAGAACTGTTGTAAAAAATTTGTGTAGGGTCGTACGACAGGATAACCATATTTTATGCTACGAATTCAGGTTGCATATCAGAAGTTCATATATTGCTGAGGTTAGGTTACAGCTACTTGAGTTGTACGAGTATTAGAGTTAAAAGGTAGATTTTGTAAAAGTTATCTTTAGTAACTGTGTATAATATGTTACTGTTACACGAATGTCCGTTACAAAGAATTTGTTAACCTTGCAATAAGTTTTCTGCGTTCCTGTGCGTTCTTCATTTTTTAAAATCTTTCTTGTCACTACGGTTCCGGTCCAACGAGCGAAGTTTGAAGGCATCGAAACGTCGGTCAAGTGAATGCTTGGTAATGACCTCGTTTTAGCTTGCCAATGAAATGAAGTTTGTAGAGTCGAGAGGGCCCTTCGATCAACCGGCTGTCTAGAAAGCTTAAAAAGAAAATGGAGAGGCAGAGGCCAATATGGTATGTTACTTCAAAGAAAGCTAATAAGTATTTTAAACTTCCATTTCAATAAGTACTACGAAACTTTCTTTCCTATAATGCAGACATATGTTCTGTCTTCCACGTAGTCACCCAGTGTTTACTAGGTGCATAATGTATCTACAGCGACTGCCTGAACTTAATCTCGGTAGATAATACCATATATCAAGTATTATAGAACTACCGTTATTTTTCAATTGTTAAATGTCCATGTAGTTTCAAGTCACGAATAATTCAGTGCTCATCTTGTAATCTATGAAATAAATATTCCTACACTTCTCTGATTGTGATGAACCTTCACTCATTCTCCTATCAAGTCCCAGTGGATAAGATTATACACTGGCTAGTGTGCAATGTTTTTCTGAGAGGAGACCAATTCATAGAACCCAGCTGCGATGACCACAAGAGAACGATTTAATAGTGTTCTTTCGTGATTCGAGGTGAAATGTTCGACAAGGTATTATTTCAATAAGTCAATGAAGACAGAACATTCGAGGTGCTCAAAGCCAACTTCTAAAAGCAAATGAACCAGTTCTGCAGCTACGACATAAAGAAACAAGTGATAAAAGCTTCCCAAATCCTTTCAAGACGAGTCACCATTGAGAATTAACGAAC